CTGTCCCTCAGCTCTTCAGCTCAAGGCTAGCGCTCTACCACTTGAGCCACAGTGCCACTTCCAGCTTTTTTCTGTTTGCTTATGTGGTGCTGAGGAATCGAATCCAGGGCCTCAGGCATGCAAGGCAAGCGCTCTACCACTGAGCCAACTTCCCAGCCCGTGAACTGGTTTTTTATATTTGTTTTTGTATCTTTCATTTGAAGTCATCTTCAATGACAGCATTGGTCTGAGACTCATTACTATAGTCTTTAACCCTACACAACTGCATCCAACCACATTAAGGTGCTTTTCCTTCTTGGTCAGTTTTGCAGAGGCCTGCCAATACCCCTAACTTACTGTTTTCATCAGTGTTAATGACATGTTTGTGTTAAGGATAAAGGGCTTCTACTAAGTTGGCATATATAGGCTCATTGCAGCTGGATGCAAGCACACAAAGATGTGTTTGGCACTTGTCTAAGGCACTTGTCAGCCATTCAGGGTGGTCTGCAGCACCTCTTGTAAAGTAGTAATGTCAATTATACCTCTGCTAGCAATGCCCTTCTCTGCCATGCTAGTGGATGACCAGTGAAGATGAATCTTGAGCACACCAGGCTTCTGCCTCCATACAACTTGGCAATGTCAGAGGAAAAGCAGTGAGAATCTTCTTTTATCACTTAAAAAAAAAAAACAACAGTATAATACTGTATATCACATCAAGTCATAAATCTAACCCAGTAACCTCATTCATACTCAAGGGTGTATGTGGCCCTTTTACTCAATAGAGGATATACTCTGTGGAGCACTAACAGCTTGTATGAGGTCAGATACTATTTAAGAATATCAGGCCCAGTACTGGTGGCTCACACCTGAATCCTAGCCAGGCTGAGATCTGAGGATCATGATTGAAAGCCAGCCCCGTGAGACTCTTACCTCCAATAAACTACTCAGAAGAAGTTGGAAGTGATGCTTGTGGCTCAGTGGGAGAGCAGTAACCTTGAGCAAAAAGCAGCTCAGGGACAGCACCTAGGCCCCGAGTTCACACACACACATACACAAAGAAGAAACTTACCTTAATGAAAACTCTGTGTTGTATAGATAGAAACAATATTCACACACACAAAAAAAAAAACGAAAGAATGGAAAAAAATCTTGGCCATCTTAAACAGTCCAAAAAGACTTTGGCTATGGGTTTCAGGACAGGTAGGAACAAGGAACTGAAAGGTCATTAGGGATACTTTCTGGAGCCATATGAGCATTCACTTCCCTCATTCTCTCCTTTCTGAAGCATCATCCCTGTGCATCTTTGCTCTCTTGGCCAACCCAGAACTTACAGATGCACATGTCTTCAGTTAACACCAGCTGACAACTTTGAATCCCACTTCCAGACTCTCAAGCGATTTTAGATAGCTCAAGATAATTACTGTGATTGTCAGGGCACTGTCATGGCTGCTGACCTGGTTGAAATCTAGAAGAAACAGCATTTTTCAGGGAAATGGGCATAAGCCTTAAGAGAAATACTAGTAAAAAGTGATCGGTAGTGTTAATTGAATGTCATTGAAATTGCAGTGCCGTGTTCACGTGGACCAACCTACTTGTGGTGGTTGTAGAACTTTGTGGCTCTGAACAGGAAGCCCTGGATCTGGTTCCTTTGGTGACCAATGTGGTCCTGGAAGAGCATTACCTCATCGTTGGTGTTGTGGTTGTCGTGGACCCAGGTGTCATCCCAATCAACTCCAGAGGAGAGAAGCAGAGGATGCACCTCCGCGACAGCTTCCTTGCTGACCAGTTAGACCCCATCTACGTAGCTTACAACATGTAACCAGCCCAAGAATCACAGAGACTGGAGAGCCATGGCTAGGAGCAAGCTTTCAAATGACGCAAAATGAGCTGAGCTGGCTACGTCGTGTTCTTCATCTCATCCTTTGGGATTCTGCAGTAATACAACACACAGGAAAGGGGAATTCTGTGGTAGCAAGTGAAAACCATGTTGAATCTAGTAGACCTGAGCTTTGGCACAGCAGGGACAGCACGTTGCTAAAGCAGTTACTTGCATGTTGCATTTTTTTCATCTGTTGTACATACTTGTATTTTTATCTAATGCTGGTTTAGAATTTTTGTAAGGGAGTTTAATGAATTCACATGAAGGGGCAGTCTGGATTACACAGTTCCCCACTCTGTACTGTATTTTGCCATTTTCATGTAGCTAGATGTTCTGTGGGTTTTGTTAACACAAAACTACTTGGCTTACTTTGAGGCAACCTGTAGGTGAATCAAATAACCCACTGAATATGAGATTACTATTCATTTCTAATCCTGGGCTGTAATACATTTGACCAGTGTTTGAAACATGTAAATAGAAATACATATAGCTTAGCTAAAGAATGGAAGAATTGGCTTATATAATGACAACCACCAAAGTAGAAACGTTTCTACTTGTAGAGAACTTCCATATTCTCTTATTATAATTAATCGATTAGGTAACTAAAAAGTGCAGGTTGTTTGCAGCTTTTGCTAAACACCATTCTCTGTCTTTGTTGGCTGGTGTTGATTATAAACTAAAGCTGCCTATGTTTGTTTTTCAAGCTTGCATTCTCAGATTTAGCTTATGCTTCAAGGATTCAACTTTGTGTATACTAAAAAAAAACTCACTTAAAAATTAAGTCTAAGAAAGAACTAAGATTCATCAGATCCCACCCTATTCTAAACTATCAAAATAGCTCACTCTAGCCCCAGAATTGAAACTTTCATATATAAAGTGACACAGGAGAACTTAAGAGTTTCCTCTTTTTCCAGGCCCTTTGTCAATTGTGTGGACAGTAGAGCTTCTCTTTTTTGAAAACTGATGAGGGCCTTGGTAAGGGCCAGGAGTTTGAAGCAAGAATGCGAGGCTGGTAAGCCAGTGGGGTCAGTTCTTACCTGGAATCGTAAGGCCACATTGCCACACATCTCACAACTGACCAGTTGAGTGGCTAGAACAGCCAGTGTGGGCTGAAATAGGGAAGTCTGATGTACACAAGGAACACTGTTGAAATAACTGGTGCCCAGGCCAAGCCCAGTGGATGATTGAGTTTGGCCTCTGGCTTGGTTTCTTTTCTTTAATCTAACACTTCATGTATTTGAACATAGTTAAATTTTATTATTTTTTTCTTACAGAAATATTTTTAAAAATTAAAGAAAACCTCAAAAGTTAAAAGAATTAACTCTTTAAATCAGAATGGTTCTCTTTGACCCATTCTGATCTATTGTGTAAATATTTATTTAGACTATTTTAATACATATTATTTACCCCACTGTAACATCATGTAAACTAAGTGTGTTTTTAAGCAATTTGTAAGACTTGTAATTACCCTGAAAATAAGGTTTATAAAGCAAAAACCAGACTCTTCACCAGGGCAGCACTCCGTGGCTGCCTTTACAGTCTCATGACTCAGAGCCCCTTTCTGGCTCCCTTTTACATAGCCCTCTTTTCCTCCCAAAACTTACTCCCGCTGAGGGAAGACCACAAGACACTTTCCAGTTCAGATCTCTTTTTCAGCATTTTGGATGGAGTTAATTCACACATGACTGAGGAGATTCTAGGATGTTTGGGAAGAGGCACTTCCATTAAACAATGGGAAATCCTAGTGTCTAGTAATGCTTTGGTTTACAGGAAAACAGCCTAATTATTTGGGGAGATAATGTTCTTAAAACTAACTTTGTTTTTTTTATTTTATTTTTTACCCTTTTTTCTAGTACTGGGGTTTGAACTCAGGGCTTCACACTTGCTGAGCTGGTATTTTGCCACTTGAGCCTCCTCTTTTTTGCTGCTTAATTTGAGATAGAATCTTGCTTTCCCACTTCTGCCTACTTTAGGATTCCTGTTGTTGCTGGGATCATAGGCATGTGCCTCGTCCAGTTTCTCTCTGTGGAGATGGGATCTCACAGACTTCTTTCTGGGCTGCCCTTGAACCACAGTCCTCCCAATCTCAGCCTCTCCAAAGCTAGGATTACAGGTGGATCCACAGGCACATGTTTAGTTTTTGAGACAAGCCCTGGCAGATCTCAAACTTGGTATCCTCCTGCTTCAGCCTCCTGAGTGCTAGAATTATAGGCCTGTATCCTTACACTCAGCTCTTAAAATGACTTCTGATTCATTAAAGTAGGAGAGTCTGGGTATTAAATAGTTCTGTCTCCATAATCCCCAAATTCTAAATTATAGGAAGACTGATAATTCTTACAAACTCCAAGTAAGATTGTATCTAGGGACACATAAATGCTCTAAATGTAATGTCAGCAACATCTGTAATAGAAATTTTTCTAGTAACTACTTTTTTTTTTTTTTTTAATTCTGTTGGTCTTGGGGTCTGGGCACGGCCCATGAGCTTTTTGCTGAAGGCTAGCGCTCTACCACTTTGAGTCACAGTACCACTTCTGGTCTTTGAGTGGTTAATTGCAGATAAGAGTCTCACTAGACTTGCCTGCCCGGGTTGGCTTTGAACCACGATCCTCAGATCTCAGCCTCCTAAGTAGCTAGGATTACAGGCATGAGCCACTGGTGCCCAGTTTAAGTAACTGCCTTTTTTTTTTTTGCCAGTCCTGGGCCTTGAACTCAGGGCCTATACACTGTCCCTGAGCTTCTTTGATTCAAGGCTAGCACTCTACACTTGAGCCACAGCACCACTTCCAGCTGTTTCTGTTTGTGTGGTACTGAGGAATCGAACCCAGGGCTTCATGCATGCTAGGCAAGCATCATACCACTAAGCCACATTCCCAGCCCAGTAACTACATTTTTAAAAGAAGCATGTAGTGCTAATTTTAATATATTTAATCAAAAATACCAAAAATGTTTCATTGTGAAATCAATGTAAAAATTAAAATATTTTGCTTTTTTATATTTAATCTTTTAAATTTAGTCTATTAAACCTATCTTAATTCACACTAGCCACATTTCAAGTCTTCAGGAGGCAAGTATGATTGGTGGCTAGTACAGTGGACAGTGTAGACTCATGCTCATTCTTTCAAGTACAATTCATCTCAGAGTGTGGCCACCTCCCAGTCAATTAGGACTATATAGTTTTATCATTCCTCAGGCCTCTATCTTGTCCCCACCCCTTTCTGACGTATGGCTGGTTCTCTTGGGTTTTTTGGTTTTTTTCTTTTGAATATCCCCCAAAACCAGACTGTGCTAGTGGAGGAATGAAAGCTGAGCACTGTCCTTGGGGAAATCTCGTCAGCCAACCATCCCTCGAGGAAGAAGAAGTCTGCTCAGCTAGGTGTTTATGGTGTCATCTGCAGACTGAAGGTCTGTCTCAACAGAAAAAAAAAAAAAAAGGAAAGAAACTTCTCTTGATGATACCGTGCCCTCCTTCTTTCCACATTAAGTGGAACCTTAGTGGCAGAAGTATCTGAAGGCAAACCTATAAGGCCATTGATCTAAAAAAACCAAGCCCTCTGGCTTTCCACTCCTCTGAAACATTCTAGGTTTTATATTGAGGGAAATGGGAGTGGGGAGATATTAACATCAAGCCCCATCTCAAGAGAAGGAAAAAAGAATGTTTTTGAGACAGGATCTTGCTATTGAAGCCCAGGCTGACCACAGATTCAGTCCTGCCTCTGCCTCCTGTGTGTCACCACTCCTTGCAAAAGCAACTTTTGATCTGAAGTTTCTGGACAGCCTTCTGGTTTTCAGAAGTAGATCGGGGTAGATCAGGAAGTAATTTCTTTAGGAAAATTCCTAGACCTGGGGATTCTTAGATCAAATATCATGGTGTGTATCTCTGAGACTCGGGATGCCCACCTTGTCTATCAGCACCAGTGATCCAGTCTTTCATTCCTGCACACAAAGCTCCCAAGTGCCCCCAGTACCACAGCCTTTTCTCATGTGGTTGTGTTGCCTTGGCTGTTTAGGGACCATTACCTGTCTTGGTTATGAATATGTCTCCCAACTTTAGTTCCTGGGCAATGCTTGCTTAATGCTTTTGTTGACTCAACAAAGGGCCTGAGGCCTTAGTTTCTGTTAAGGTCTCTGTCCCAGGCATGGTGCTCAATCTCTTGGCCAAATAAGTTACTTTTTTTGAATTTTCCAGGAATCTTTTAGACTAAAGCAATGAGGAGTTAACACCTCACCCTCAAACTCCAACATAATCTATGCCTTAGTGTTACTTTTGTTATCTGCTTTGATGTAAAAGCAAGAATATTTGGAGTAAGAAGCTGCAGCACTCCAAAAACACAATAAGCCTTTCTCTGCCATCCATACATTTCCAGTTTAGGTATATGTAGATGGACCATGTTACTTGTCCAGAGGAAGAGATTGTAAAGATAAAAGAATAACTTTTTCAGTCCTAAATGCTGTTTTGTTTATTTTCTGTCAGGTTATTTACCCGTGTCAAATTCAAGCTATAGTACTATGTAATTATGTATAAAGTTTTTTTTATTTATTTGAAATTAGACTAGATATACATTTTTAAATTTAACATCTGGCTGGACAGTGTTCTATTAACTCATTGAATGTGTTTCCTTTGTCTTGTGTTAATAAATATTGATGCCTGGTTGTGTATAATATTTCATACACTGGATGGGACTAGGGTATTTCTTTTGTGAATATGTGGTGTTGGGATCAAATCCAGGGCCTCTTGCCTACATTCTACCACTGAGACACATTCCAGCCTGGGAATTGATACCAAATTTAAATTCAGAGAGTTAGACTTAACAGTAAGTGTGAATAAATAAAATTTGTACAGTTAAATGAAGCAAGATCAATGAACAGTATTATTTAAAAAACTAAAGGGGGGGCTGGGAAGGTGGCTCAGTGGTAGAGCACTTGCCTTGCATGTTCAAGGCCCTGGGTTTGATTCCTCAGCACCACATAAGAAAAAAGCCGGAAGTGGCGCTGTGGCTCAAGTGGTAGAGTGCTAGCCTTGAGCTGAAGAGCTGAGGGACAGGGCCCAGGCCCAGAGTTCAGGCCCCATGACCGGACCCAAAAAAAAAACAAAACTAAAAACTAAATGGGCTCTTGTCAGGACTTTTGATGGTACTGGGTTTGGACTCAGAACTTTAAAGTTGCTGAGCTAGGTGTTCTATCATATGAACTACACATACACATGTACACGCACTTTTAAAATTATTTTTCAGTCAGGCACTGAAGGCTCACACTTGTAATCCTAACTACTCAGGAGGCTGAGATCTGAGGATGGTGGTTTGAACCCAGCTGGGGCAGAAAAGTCCCTAAGACTCTTATCTCCACTTAACTAGTAAAAGGCTGGAAATGTGCTTCAAGTAGTAGAGTGCTAGCCTTGAGCTAAAAAGCCAAGGGAGAGAGCACAAATCCCAATACCAGCATACACATGTATTTTTATTTATTTATTTTTTGGTGGTTGCTGTCCCTCAGCTTTTCAGCTCAAGGAGAGCACTCTACCACTTGAGCTACAGCGCCACTTCCAGTTTTCTGGTGGTTTATTGGAGATAAGTGTTTCACGGACTTTCCTGCACTGGCTGGCTTTGAACCGGGATCCTCAGATCTCAGCCTCCTGAGTAGCTAGGATTACAGGTGTGAGCTACCAGCACCCGGCCTCACACTGGTATTTTAGATAGGGCCCTGTGTTTATACTTTGGGCAACTTGAACTGTTAATCTAGTTAATCTTCCCTCAGAGTTAGGATGATAGCTGCAGAGCAGACTATTGCACCCAGCTGGAAAGTGGTAACTTCATTGTCCATTTCAGGAAGCTTAATGAGAGCCCATCAGATAGTGAATATTCTCAGACATTAAAACTGATCCTAGAATTATGGTTTTAGCTATTTGGGCAGCTGAAGACATTTTTTCACTTTTAACAGATGTTTATCAAGTATTGCTCACTAAGCACCAGAACTGTGATAAGAACTGAAACTTGAAGAAAAATACTGTGTCATTGCCTTCAGGAGATGCAGAAAAACAACCATAATATGGTATAATAAAGCTTAGAACAGAGATAGATAGTGAGAGCTGGTAGGACAGGCACCCAATCCAGAGATGGAGTGTTATATAGGAACTCGATCTATAGAGGCATTCCAGAAAAGGTCATATCTAGACTGAGTTTTGAGGGGTGAGAATGCTAGATAGATAAGATAAAAAAAACAGGAAGGCAAAGTTATATGTTCTAGGGATTACAATTCCTGTTAGGATTGCTATGATTTGTATATGTCATTCCAAAATTTATCTTAGAACATAAGACACAATGTGCTAGTATTGATAGGATCTTCTGAGAAATGATTTTGAGTCTTGAGGGCCTACCCTCTTGAACAGACTTGTAAAGGGTTTATAGGGAAAAAGTTAAGCCCTTTTTCCTTTCTGTTCCTCTAGCCAAGTGAGGATTCAGCATTCACCCTTCCAATGTAAGAACCTTTCAAGATACCATCTAACCAGTGCCAGGCTTTAGGATGGTTTTAGATGGTGAGGCCTTTAAGAGATGATTCCATCATGAGGGAGAAACTTTTGAAAAAGGCTTCATGTAAGATGCTGGTGGCTTACACCTGTAATTCTTAACTACTGAGGAGGCTAAGCTCTGAGATTGAGTTTCAAAGCCAACCCAGGCAGGAAAGTCAGAAGATTTTGGTGGTGGTGGTAGTGGTTGTGGGGTCTGAACTCTGCCTGGCCACTGTCCTCAGCTCTTCAGCTCAAGGTTAATGCTCTACGATTTGAGCTACAGTGCCACTTCCACCATTTTCTGCTTATGTGGTGCTGAATAATCAAACCCAGGGCCTCATGCATGCAAGGCAAGCACTCTACCACTGAGCCACCTTCCCAGCCCT